GATATATATATATATATATATATATATATATATATATATATATATATATATATATATATATATATATATATATATATATATATATATATATATATATATATATATATATATATATAAGGCATGACTCCAGTGAGATGACACCTCGTGCTTCGGTCAGATGACGCAAAGCTCATCACTGGCCACTGCAAAGCTCACCAAAGAAAACTACAAAGCTCACCAAACTGTAAGACAAAGCTCACCATATTTTTTCAACACTTTGATTTTTTTTAAAAAAAAATAAAATCAAAGGAAGGGGTGCTGGCTAGATTTTGATCGTTGACCGCCAGCATTGACCGCCGCTGCCGGACTCCGTCCGCCACCGCCAGCCGTCGCTCCGCCGCCTGCCATTGCTGCTGACCGGTGTTATTTTATTTTAATTAATTTTTTAATTTTTTAAATTTTAAAAAAGGAGAGTTTTGGTGTTCAAAGTGGTGAGATTTGTTTTATTTTCAGGTGAGCTTTGTATTGTTCATTGATGAGCTTTGTAGTGTAGTGTGGTGAGTTTTGCGTCATCTGACCGAAGCATGTCATCTCACCGTAAGGTGTCATCTCACTGAAGTTATTCCCATATATATATATATACATATATATATATACATACATACATACATACATACATACATACATACACACACACACACACACACACATATATATATATATATATATATATATATATATATATATATATATATATATATATATATATAGACACACACCCACTGCTGCCAATGGCACACAGAGCACTATAATCTCTCTCTCTCTCTCTCACACACACACACAGCTCTCTCTCTCCAGTTGTGCATGATAATGGATTTCAGAGGTAGCAAGTTGGGGACGACGAGGAAGCCAGCCATAGTAAGAAGAGGGGCCGTGAAGATCAGAGCTCTGAAGCAACTCTTCACTCTAATGGCTTCGGCCTGCGCCGAGGTCGCCAGGATGATGATCCTCTGCTGCCGCCTTCCGCCTGCCCCGATCGCTCCAGCCGGGGACGGGGCCGCCTGCGGGTTCGGGTCAGAGGATCATCGATCTTCTTCTTCTTCTTCTTCTTCTTGATATAATAAAGCTTCTTCAATTCGTTCTTCTTCTCCCGTCCTCATTTCGTTGAATTTTCCTACGTTGACTTAGCTTCCCAGACCAGACAACCCACTTAATTAGTAGCTTATATAGTACGCAGCACACAGACACGACACACACTGTTTGTGTCTTCCATTTTGTGGTATGTATGTATGGTAACTTCAAAATTCTTGTTTGTTTATACTACACAAATAAGTACTACTACGTATGTTATTTATTTGGTTATAGATTTATGAGCAATATTGTTTCGAGTGTGTGAAACCAGTTGATTTACCTACTGTGTTAATTACGGGTGCATACAGAAGAGTGTTTTTATATGGGAGAGAATGTGAGAGTAAATAATATACTCTGGCGACCTATGTTGAGACTTTCTTTTTTTAAAAAAAAATGCTTGAAATGAAAGTCAAGAATAAAGAAAACTCTGACCTCTGTTGAGATATTATCTTTTAAATGCCTTGAAATTAAAGTCAGGAATAAAGAAAAACTGCTTTCCTAAATTTTATTTTACGTCTGTTCTTTTTACCTGATCTGATTAATTCTGATTTAAATACAATAAATTTAAATATGATGGTCTGATATGATTGTAGTTATATTTAATAATTGTTTCTGATCCGGTTTCATCTCAACTGATTCTAACAACAATATATTGAAGAAAATAAAGTTTTACACTATTCTTTTGAAGTGATTATTAGTTTCTTAACCCCAAACTCTCCTCCCAGCCCCGTCCCTTGTACCCTTTCAATCGCACCCCAAATTCTGGTCAAAATTGAGGGGTTAGGGGTTTGACAAAAATGTTAATCATTTCGAAGTGAGATTGGGGGGCTGTAGAGGGCGAGGTAGAACGGAGATTAGAGAGGGTAGAAATCATTTCAAGTGTTGAACAACTAACATCGCAGAGACATCACCTTATTACAAGGAGTATTAGAGAGTATGGCATAATTGGCATTGCACTCCGTGTCTCAAAAGAGTTGGCATTTATATTTTAAATGTGGACCACTCTTTCAAAAAAAAGCATCATATCTTTAATTGTTAAGATTTCAAAATTGTTGTTTAAGATATTTTAAAATTATTTTAGCAACATGAAGACATGCAGTGTAGGGTGGGGCATTGGCGCAGGGTAGAGGGGGGAAGAGGTAGGGGCGAATGATGCAAGTTGATGAGTGGCAGAGGATGGTGGGGTAGGGGATTAGGGGTAGGGAGCCGGTGTGTGCGGGGTGGTACGGGGGTGGAAAGGTGGGGTGGGTGTAGACGAGGAGAGCAGGGTAGGAGAGGGTGGGGTGTAAGATCAAATGAGATTAGACCATATCAGATCAAATTTAGTTGACTTTAGAGTCAAATTTTTGACCTCAAAGTCAACAAGATACCAGATAGGATCAGATGAGATTAGACCATATCAGATCAGACCAGATCAGAATTTATTCCAATCAGATCAAAACCAATCAGATCAGATGAAGAGAATATGGCCTTAATTCTTATGGTGATGTGTACGACCTTGAAGTATTTCTTACTCCCTAATGCTTTCCTTGAACCCTGCATCCCGCCCCCACCTCCTCTTCAAATTTTTTATTGATGCTCCGATCAACAATTTTGACTACAATGGCTCAAAGAATTGGGAGATGCGATTAGAGGCTGCATCAGTGTCAAAACTCAAAAGAAATGAACTGTGACCGTTCGACCGGGTCTGAGGGGGCCCTCGAGAATGGAGGTCATCCTTTCAAAAGAACTGAACTGTTGAAAAAAAATAGTTGTATGCATATTCTTTTTATTGAGAAGAAATGGAAAATGTCGTTTTATGGCGGGAGGGATGAAGTACTACCAGGAGTATTTAACACAAAGTATAAGGTAATACTGTATTTCGTATTCCATATCTAAGTGGGATCTTCCACCTTGACTTTATGTCTGTTTCAAACTTCAAAGTACTTGTCGAATCTTTATTTCAGAAAGAGAAATGAGATTCACATGTTCCCTCGTTTTTAAAACAAATTTATATCATAATTTTTAAACTTTTAAATCTCCACTAGGTACAAGTTGGAAACCCCTAACGGGATGAAGGGGTTTTATCATGAACTTTTCTTACACCTTCCCTCTGGATTAATGAACTTACCTCCAAAACATTAGAACTTGATCACTTGTTTGGGTTGGCTTCCTCTCTTTCCCAGTGCCTTATCCAAAGCCGTATGAAAATCGTCAAACGGTACAACCTCCATCCTGCATCATAACATTTGCCAATTAATCTTAAATTGGCGAATTTTGCATTTCCATCTCAATGTTCTTTCTTGTAACGGGAAGGGCATCTGGCGTAAAACATTGCCAATCATTGCTTGCATGCATTTATAGTGATAAATAAGTTTATACAATTAGAGCTGTTTCGTTCATTCCTCAATTGGTGAAAGGAAATCAAGAGCACGTACTCATAGGTCAATTTCTCATCGCGAGCTAGGCCCAAAAGATAATCTATCATGCCATGACACTCTTCCGCTTTATCCGAACTTAACCACTTTTGGAGCCAAAACCCTCTCAACGAGAGCTCCTGCAAACATGCCATGAAAAATATTAGTATGAAAAATGCATTTTTTTCCAAGTTCTGAGCAGATTCGAAGAATTGGAACAAGAACTATCCCATCAGTATCCTTACACAGCACGCTACCAAGAGACTAAAGAACTAGGTATGTATGGCTAAGCTTTAGCTTCATGTTTACTGGATCAGGATTCAGAAGTAACCCCACATTTGTTCACCTTAATAAGCTCAGGCAGACGAGATAGCCCATTTAAAGAGTCATAAGTAGATACAAAATCAAATCTTGAAAATTTTAACTTAACACAAAGCAACAAGGTGGTAACTGCTTGTTCATAACCAGTTCATAAAACTGAATACCCCTACATCACTATCAAAGCATACCTTAAATATAAATGAACTTGTCGGTACCGTTACGGGTTTCTTTGACATGCCCCCATAAGTAACCATAGTTCCACCCTGCCTGAAAAGAACACCTTAACCTTTGATATCTCGAAAAGAAATGATCAATTTTGGAATGCTATTCACCTCAAGAGTTTAAGGACCAGGGAAGCAGCATTCCCACCAACACAGTTAAGGCCCAAAGCCGGTTCGGGTATACTGCCCTATAACACATATGTGACCATTGTAATACAGAGCAGTATTATATTCAGTGACGTTGAGAAAATAATGAGAAAATGTAATTATACAAAGGGAATATCTATACGATACAGATAAAATACCTAAATAGTGAAGCTACAGGATTAAGTTGCCGCATACCAGAAGAGTTTTGACATTTTTCACATCAAGTTGGCTCTCGGTGAATACTTCATCGGCACCAAGTTTTATAAGTTTTTCTCTTGCTTCATCTGATCCGGCCCTGCTCGAATTATTTAAATGAAGGAGAAATAATGCAAAAACGCAGGCATTCCTGATAAGTTTAGAGTAAAATGGGTGTTGAATCAAATAAATACCTATCTCGAATGATGTTAAGACTGTGAATGCCTCGAACTCGAGCAAGTTGAATAACACATTGTCCCACGATACTCGTGGCGCCATTTTGCACAATAGAATCACCTTCATGCGCATAAATCAGATAAGGGATATTGTAGGAAGAGCAGTGGTACCTGATGAAAAATGGCAATACCTGATTTTAAAGCCACAAAGTCCTCAAGCATTCTCAATGCCGTCAACGGATTGACAATAACAGTGGCAGCATATTCCATCGGTGTGTTCTTGTCAATTTTGTACCAAAGGCTTTGATCTTTTACAACATATGTCTGCCATGTACCTATTAAAAGGAAACATGACAAAATTTTCATGCTTATAACAGCAAAGGCTGTGTAAAACTTATGCACTACTTTTTACATGAATTTACTGTACAACAAAAAACCCAGAAAAAACCCAACGCCATTGTGCTCTCATGGGGAAAGATGCACACAACTTTACACCTGGATAAACCGGAGAGGTTGCTTCCGGTTTACCCTTGATGCATTGCCGCTTTTGCTGCCCAAAACTTCATAGGAAGTAAGAAGCAAAGGAAATTTAATGTGCCACTTTGATCATGTTGACCCCAGATAATTAATAAACCCTAGAAATATCATGCCACCAATTACCAACCCCAACACAGCTGTAACGTGGTGAAATTATGATTATGCTGTTGAATATTGGGGCTAGGGATGAGATTTAAGAGGTTAGAGTTCAAAGAGTATACTCCGTAGTATAAATGTTGTTGTAATACTCCACAATACAGAAAAAAAACAATAGAACATATGCAAACTTACATGCCAGATTTTTAAAGAAAAGAAGATCTAATTTGTCTCAAGTACAGAAACATTGCGGGTAGTAATAACTGAGAGAAAGAATAGCATAAAACAGCAAATCTGCATCTTAAATATATAATATCATAAATGAAAGGTCGTGCCTGAAGTTGGAGGAAAGGCAATAACCCAATCTCGGGGGGAAAGAGACTTCACTGCAGGACCTATAGCATGTACTTCTCCAACTCCTTCATATCCTCCAACAGCTGGTAGTGTTGGCCGGACAGGATATACTCCTATGGCAATAGTTTAGACTTTTAGTATATATTTCTCCATCCGTCTCACTGGATTCTTTAGAGTTGTTATTCAAAAGTCAAACTAAACTTTTTTTCTCTACATACTTTTCTCTATCATTTGATGAAATAATATAGTGATGTCACCTCTTTTTCGTACCAGAGTAAATCTTTTGTTGTAGTTTTTGAACATATATACTCTCTCTGTCCAAATTTAGCTGTTAACCTTTTAACTTTTGTTTGTCCAGAATTAGTTGTCCACTTTCCATATTCAATAAAGTAATTATGATGAATAATTTAAACTATCCTAGAAATAGAGTAGGAGCATTGTAACTTATTTGACATTTAAACTCATCTCTTAAAAATCAGAATTTTAAGAAGTGGAAAATTATTTCCAAAAGGATGGAGTAAATTACATCAATATTTAAACAAAATGAATAGAAAATAGCATCAATCAAGGTGTTTCAAGAATCCAATGGGACAGAGAAAGTATTACTCCGTACATTATAAAACAAGATATTAACACTTGAATCATTGATGTATCATATCATACAATATTTACAATAAGACTGCATGGAGAATATGAAATCCCCCCTCACGTGCAGGCATAACCCTTCAAGCCGTGCACGTGAAACCTTAACTTCTTAAAAAAATTGAGTGGCAGTGAGTTTCAATCTCGTGACCTCTTGGTCAACAAGGCTCTAATACCATGTCAATGAACCAACTCAACCAAAAGCTCATGCTTGTAGAATGGGATTTGTTGGTGGTCCAGGAAAGGTTTTTATATTCTAATAGAATGGGATTTGTTGGTGGTCCAGGCAAGGACCTTATGCAAAGCATACCCACACTCCTCGCCATGAGTAGAACCCGACCAAAATGTCCTTTTTACCCCGTATTGACTACTAGAGCTATGCCCCGGGCTAACCGAACACATTCTCTAATGCACTGAAGAACAAAGGGTGCAATATATTTTAGGAGGAACACTTTTAGAGATAGATATGTACAATCCATGCTTTTTCTGATGCCTATTTAATCTTGTTAGTCCATCACGGTCCGGACGCCATGTGCACAAAAGGATCTCAGCTGGTGTAGCCGTGTAGGGTTCTTGTCGTACAGAGTACAGACCCCAAGGTACAGTAAACATGTGCATGACATTCAATATGACTGGTGAAAGACAATGAAAGTCTCCACAAGGTTGAAATGGGAAATGCACCCTTAGCCCGGGACGTAGCTCAAGTGGTCAAGAGGGGGTGCAAAAGAGCATTGTGGCCGGGTTTGACTCTTGGCGAAGGCAGTGTGTGGCCTTTTGTGCTTTACATAAAGCTCTTTGTTGGGACTAGGGGCATATCTCATTCCATATTGCTCAAGTCCTCGTCCTCAGGTAACTGTTCAAGCCTGAGGAGACCCTAAGATGCTTTCATCTTTTTTGAGAACTGCACCCTTATAATTAAGTCTATGAGTATTGAGTCACAAATTAATATTAATCAAATCCAATTGACAGACACTTGGAGGAAACTATATTCATACGATGAAGCTCCTAAATGCAGGAAACATTCTTCAACGAAATTAATATTAAGAAACGAAGATAAATAAAATGATAATAACCTTCTATTCTGTTAATATCCGAGGGATTAATGGGAGCTGCAAGCATTCGAACGCATACTTCATTGTCTTTTATTTCAACAGGCGGAAGCTCAGCCATTCTGCAATCCAAGCAAATCATTTGGAGAAAATTTTAAATCTAAACACAACATAAGATACATTCTGTTAGAGATGGAAAAAGGAAGCAGGATTGAATATGGAAAATGTTAGAAACCGAATCCCTTTCCTTTGGGATTAGGTTTATTATCTTTCTAGTTGGTTTAAATCTTATTTTAGTAGGAATAGAAATTTTCTTGTTTGCTTTACCCTCTTCTTATATAAAGGTGTTATGACGGATGTAAGAAAGATAACAAACAATAAAGAAACGAAAGAACAAACACACACAGATTTAACGTGGTTCACCAACAATATGTTGGCTATGTCCACCTAACAGAAGAGAGGAGAGCTTTTACTGATTGAGGAGAGAGATTACAGAGGGATTTTCTAGGTGACTGATCTATGTCTGAATGCCTTACAAATGAACCTATTTATTGGAAAGATGGCAGCCAACTTGGCTGCCTAAATCCAGTGGGAACTGAGCAGTTGACAGCCCACAATACTGCTGTCGTACAGCTGGCCCACCTCACCAACTAGCAACCCACTTGCCCAATTGTCTAGGCCTCCTTCCAGCCACTTTCCAGACAGGTGCAGCCATTGTTGACTAGTCAAATAGGTTAGAATTCAAGGCATTCCAACAAATCTCCACCTTGACTTGAATTCTCTCACAAATTTCCAGATGCACCTCCTTGGTGCCATATGTACCCGCTCTCTTCTCTTCTGCAGTTTAACAGCTTGTGATATTTAGCAAGTCCAAACAATGTTGGAACTTGCTCTGTGGAACTGGCTTAGTGAACATGTCGGCAGGATTGTCAGCCGTGCCCACTTTCTTCACCCTGATTCTTTTCTCACTTCTCAAAAAATGATACCTGATATCAATGTGCTTAGTCCTTTCATGATGAACTTGATCCTTGGCTAAGCATATTGCACTCAAACTGTCACAA